CATTCCATAGCCTTTTATGGTTCCGAAGGAGTTGTTCCCGAACTTGACATTTCCACCGTTTGAAAGAGATCTGAATTCCCTTAGCTCTTCCTTCCTTCCTGTCATGTGACGTGAGCAGCCACTGTCGATATACCATTCTTCGTCAAACTGCTCGTCACTATAACCTGCACAAATTAAGCAGATTTAGGAACCCAAAGTTTCTTGGGTCCACGTGAGCCTTTCACAGGAACAGGAGTAGTAAGAGAGATGTCAACAAAATATGTTCTTTTTATTAACGTTGTTTCATCTTTCTTTTTGATGGTGAAAACTTTAATTTTATTGGGATTTGATGCTTTTGGTTTGGACTCGGATTTAACTGACGAAACCTTTGATTTCCCTTTCAGGTCAGTTGAAGATTTAGGTTTTTGAGTTCGAGCAGAATTGGATTTAGAATGGGGTTGAGAAGAAGAATGATTGAAAGAATTAGAAGAGTTAGAATGAGAGAATTTAGACTGAGATGATTTCTTGACTTGATATTCTAGGTGACCCTTTCGGTTTTGATTATCAGTGGGACCGAACCTAGAATTTTGGTCTCTTTTGCTCTCTGAACCGAACCTCTGCTTTCGGTTGATGTTGTTTTCTGAACCGAACCTCTGCTTTCCGTTGACACTATTCTCTGAACCGAACTTCTGCTTTCGGTTGTTATTTCTCTCTTGTGATCTAACAGTATTTTTCTCTGACTTTAAATTTTTATCGCGATATGAGAAATAGGCATTTTGAGACTGCCAAAAACTGTTTTCTTTCAGAAAGATTCTTCTTGTATCTCTGATTCCTTTTTTGTTTTTGGTTTCTCATCTGCTTCGGCTAATGATGGATGTTCGCCTTTTGTTTTTGTTTTGTGTCAACAGGTCCACTTTGAACTGATGAAGATTCACTTGAATCCGCTTTTTCTTTAGGAATATCTTTTGTACCACTAGTACTTGGTACGTCAAAGTTATCAGGATTGTTCAGTGGCTCCGGAATATATCTTCCTTTTGTTTTCCAGGATGTTTCTCTGATAGACCAACTGTTTCATCAGCATTGTCGATAGGGGCAGACCAAAAGAACTCATCACAACCATCAGCATTATCTTCGTTTACAATGGCTGTGAGTTCGGCTGTCTGATGTTCGGTTACACCTGTGACCTTATACACCTGATTTGGTGTTGTCCTTACCTTTTGGTAAACAACAGCCTTTTCTTCAAGGTTCGGGGACTTTTGTTGGGACAAGCGGGCAAACTCCACAGAATTTTCTGAGATGAGATTTTTGTGGTTTTCGGGTTCGCTCGTGACAAACTCAGAACAGTCAACTTCATCCTCTATACAAATTTCACTCATATCATCATCCTCATTAAACTCAGATGCATTTTCAACATTAATTTTATTTTCTGAGCTCAAATTGGCATTCAATGAGTCAAACTTTTGTATGGTTTCAGTCCTTAGATTCAGTTTGTCATTTTCATCCAAAAGGTTTTTCAGCATGTCCTTATGGTCCTTGGACTTAATGAAAGATTCAATTTTGTCTAGACCATACATATATGTCGGATTAACATCCTCAGACGAAACCACACTTTCACAATTGTATGCTTCAGCGTCGATTTCATCCTCCTTAAACTCAAGGAAGTGCAAAATCATACGATGAATTTTCTACCCTATTTCACAGTTTAAATGAAGTTGAGTAATATTATTGTAAAGACGCTTAGCAATCAAACAAAAAACATTTCACTGTTTTAAAAGTTTTAAATTGTCTCTTTGCAAATAAATGTTTTCGTCCTTGGTTTTGATTAACTCCGACTCCTTCAGTTCGATCCACATCCTCCGTTCCTCACTCTTCGAAGACACCCTGCTTATTTGGTCAGTTAGGTTAGAATTGGTGACTCGAGTTTGAGTTAAACTGCTGTCTAGATGAGAAATTCTTGAATTAACATTTTTTTTAATTCTTTTTCATATGAGCATTGTGGGACTTTGAATGAAACAAAAACGGATTGTACCTTCTTGATCAGTTCATCAAGCTCGTTGAATTGCACGCTGAGCGGTTTTGCTGTAAAGCACATGTCCTGTTGCTCCTTCGTGTCTTTATTCCCACCATCTGTGTTGACCAGACCTCCACTCCTCCAAACTCATCATTTGCTACCGAACCCTGCACAATTAAAGCATTCATAGAAGGGTTAGCAATAGATTTCTTCTTCCTGATCTCATCCAGCTTTTTCAGCAACAAAGCTTCTTCATCTTTTTCCTCATCCTTTTCTTCCATTTTCTTGAGGACACAATCTTTTGCATAGTGATTCTTTCCTCCACAGTAATAGCAGCTCACTCCCGAATCTCCTTCAACTCTCGGTTCCTTCTTTGATTCTTCTGCCTTTGGTTCGTCTTTGACCTTTTCAGAACTATAACTTCCCTACCAATTTCGGTTCTTATTGGTGGGAAATCTTTTCTTGATGAACCTCTTGGGGTTTGATACCATCATAGAATAGTCTTCAGAAGTAAGATCATAGTCCTCCATGTTGAGGTCTTCATCTTCCATAACCGCTTTACTTTTGGATAGGAGGGCCAATGAACCCAGGCTTGAAACTACATTTTTCTCCAGTAGTACGATCTTTTCTTGAGATTTCAGAATGCCTACCAGTTTCTCCAGAGAATAAGATTTGAATTGCTCATGCACTTTAACTGTGGACACTACAGCTCTCCACTCAGATCTGAGGCCGTTCAAAAACGTAACCTTCTGCTCAATTAGCTTCCTTTCAATATCATGTTTAATCATCTTGCTAAGAAGATGATTGAAGCGATCGAACGTTTGAGTCACGGTTTCTTCGGCTCCCTGCTTGAATTCACCAAACTCGGACAAGAGTAAGGTTTGAATGGAGTGTTCAAGATCTTCGTCCGTAGAATACAATTCTCGAAGCCTGTCCCATATTTCTTTGGCAGTAGTACATGAACTCACCAGCCTGAAAGTGTCAGATTGAAGAGCGAATCTGATTAATCTCAATGCTTTAATATTGCACTGAAATTTATCTTTTTCGTCTTGGGCAATATCTTTAACATCTTTCAAAAGATCATTATACTCCTTTTGAGTTTTAATAATCCTTGAAGTTGCAGAATGAGCGAAGGGTCCCGATACGATTGCTTCCCAGATGAGGTATCCATTGTCCTCAGATCCTATAACATAATCTTCAAAGTGATGTGCCCAGAATTCATAATCCTGGGTGTAAAGGATGGGAATCTTCGTTGTTGATACAATGCTCTTCGAAACATTAATGGGATTGGATTGCGACTCGTCCATGCTTGATCGAATAACCTGTTTGAAAGATCAGACTTGTAATATGTAATATTAGGGCAAGACGAATAATTAATGAGATACGTCAATTATGGAGTGACGGCTCAATAAATATTAGTTAATGCGGAATAAACCCTAATAGCTTCTTTCACAGAAGAGATGTGTATGAATTACACAGCCTCCTGCTCTGATACCAATTGATGAGTTATTAAAACTCTTTGATTGATTAGATCTTTGCAACAGGTAGATAAAGAAAGTAAAACAATGAAACAATACTCAAGAATGGATTTGAATGTGTTGAATGATTAGAACGTTCAATCCTCAGCAGAGCTCGATAAAGAACTTCCACTGTAGAGGATTCTAGGGTTACAAAAGAGATCTTCTAAAATTACACGTAAAAACCTCGATCTATCTGTTATGAAAAAGATGCATGCAAGCATCTATTAATACACAAACCCTCGAAAATAAGATATGGATGGACACGCCCATGCCGTATACAAGATGGGCTAGGAAGCGAGCCCAAGACGCAACATCAAGTACCCAACAATCTTATCACCAAGAGGCTTCTAGAAACCTGAATGGGCTCCTCCAAAAACCGTCCACATCTATGTTAGAACTTAATGATAGGAATATTCTATAATAAAAATGTCAACAGTAGAATTGTGATAAAGAATTTGAACAACAAAGCATAAATAAGATCTGATTTGATTAATAAGGAGTACAGAACAGTTCCTTACAAGAGTTCTTAACTATTCTATGTAATGCTCCTTAGATCAGTGTGCTTATTCTACTAACAAGTCCTCTATATATAGGGCGTGATAGAAGAACTTGAAAGGATACATAAAATTCAGAACAAAACATACTAAATTCTGAATTAAACAAAGACTTAATACAATTCAGAAATCCATAACATTGACACAAAAATTTCCAAAACCTAACAATCTCCCCCTTTGTGTCAATTTGTAGAAGTTGTACTCTTTATTTCTTCTTTCTTTTGAACTTCGTAAACTTTTGGAATAATATTCAAAATAGTCATTCTCATAGATATGTACCACTTTTTCGTATCAGAAAAGTACTTCGTATCTTCAAAAAAATTTGACTTGTTCATTTCTTTCCTTGCTAAGATTTGATTCAGAACAACTGTAGCCCCCCTTGTTTCACAGAAGCCCCTTTTCTCGGAGCACTTTGAATATTCTTTACCTTCTCCATGATCGGCTTCAACTTACCATCCATTATTTGACCAATATAGTAAACAAATGGAGCATTTCTTGATTCAAAAATTTTTAAAAACCGTTTGATTATTTCAAAATTTCTTCCTTGAACCAGATTCATCTCTTCTTGAACTTTTGCATGATTAATGGAAGCATACTTGAGTCCACTTTCAGCACTGTAACCTTTTGAGTTTGTAAAGCAAGTTCATCCAGTATTTTGTTTTCAGAAACAATATCATTCTGCATGCGAAGAATCTTATTGGAAATGGATGTGTGGTGATCTGCATTATCCTTTTGAAGCTGAAACTGTAAAGTGGACAAAGCCTCTTTCTCTATTTACAATGAAATACAAAAGCCTTCAATTGCTTTATTTATATCAGCAACACTCTTGTCCAAAGTAGTTCTAAAATTTGTCGTAAACTCCGGTACTTTAGTCAAAAGCTTTTCAACTTTCACAGTTGCTTCTGAAAATTTCTTTGCAGAGTTTGCAGCCATATTCTATGTCTCTTCATGAACTTTCCCATTTCCAGAAGTCAACAACTCAAATGTAGCTAAATGAGTGAACATAATATTTTCCCATTTTGATGTCGAAAAAGTTTCTGTATAAAGCAAGATTGAATCATGTTTCTGATTCAACTCTTTAAACAAACCTTTGGTCATTGGAGCATCATCATCATCACTATCAACTTTCACAGTGAAGGATGGAAGAACAAAAGTATCTATAGGATCTGGATAACCCCCAAAAATTAGATTATCATCAACAATTGAAGTTGGAATGTGCCCAGAAACACCAATATTGACATTTGATTCCACATTAGATATGTTACCAGGAATGCATGAAGATCTATTTTCCACTTTACCAGATTTGAAAATAGAAACTTTTGTTGGATTTTCAATGGTGGTGGTTCTAGGAGATGTAGTTAATTCAATAAAGATTAGAGTGGAGAAAAATATGGAAATTTGAGGTTGAGAAGAATTTACTATACTGAATGTTGGTAAAGTTGGAATGGATGAATTTAGAATTGATGTGGTCATTGGTGAAGTAGAAGTAGGAAAAAGAGGTGGTGGTGGCAAAGTTTGAGATAAATTCAGAAACGAATCAATATTCTCAAAGATATTTGAATCAGATGGAACAAAAGAAAATGGTGGAGTAGATACCTGCAAACATGCCTATGTTGTAGACGGTTCCAAAACATTTGGAATATCAGTATTATTAGCAGTATTATTTTCATCATTTTTGAGCACATCATCTCCTTGAACATCACTATATGTTCGCTCATCGGAATCTTCTTCAAACACAGGTGGTGGGGACTTTGGTTTTCTTCACCATGTTTTTGGGTTTCTTAGATACATCCACAACAACATTTACAGCTGCTTAGGCTTTCCACTTTCCTACACGCTTCGATAAATCACTAGCTTTAATAATCTTCTTTAATTTAAATAGGAAGTTCTCGAACACCAGAAACATGAAATTTTCGATAAGCCCTAATAGTTACATTGTTCAAAGGGACCTTATCCAACATCACTTCAGGAATTGATCCAACAAATCCAAAATTCCTCATATCAGAAGTAACAAATGTGGTTGTCTGCATCATTGGAATTTTGGCCATCAACGAATCTATCATCCCTGGAACTTTATAATGAAGAAGGGCTCTCTTAACCACAATAGACCAAAATTGAGAATAAGAAATTTCCATGTATCGAGTAGTAGAATTAACACTCTACACAAATTGAAGCCATATAACTGTACTAAAATCAACCTTTGTTACAATGAAAAACCCATAAATCATCATGTAGAAGAGTTTAGTTGCACTATCAGAGCTTGTAATCCTCTCTGATAAGCTTTAAACAAAATGGCAAAAAAACCATTCCAAATTCATGTCAAATAAGATTTTATGAATTTTAAGAGAAATGAAATGTCAGTAGTATACCCCACCTAGAAAAACATCTCAATCATTTTTGTGGTTTGAACCGATTCTGGATCAACTAACTCACTAGATACTTGGAGCCCTAACAATTGACAAAAATGCATTTTGGAAATTGAAGTTTTATGCCAAAAAACTTTCAAATTAATAACCTCTAGTTGTTTGTTGTAAATTGAACTAGAATATGCCTTTGAGAGATGAATAAGAGGCTATTCTTCATGCATCGTCAAAACCTTCATAAATAGAGAATAAGGTAGACATTCAATTAAGGGCTTTATCAGCGTGTTGTATTTCGAAGCATCAACAAAAACAATTAGGTTTTTATTGCTTTGACGTTCAACATAATAGTTGAAGGAGACTGATCAACAAAAAAAAATAAGTTCAGATGAAGCCATGATTGTGGAAAAAGATGATGAACAATAGAAAAGTTTTCAATAAGCGCCAGAACTTTTAGTTGAATTGGTAGAAAATAAATCATTATACCTTCCTTTTGATCAAAGATGATGAGTGGTGAGAGAAAATCACCGCTTCACATGCCTTTCATGCTCCGATTAGAACCAATAACCGAATAGCAGCTCAACATTCCCTGTAACTGTCAAACGTCGTTTGTGTATCCAAAGCATGTGTTAGAGAATACAAAAGGACACGCCATCATTTAAATTATCTTTTTTTGAACATGCTCTTTTCAGATTACTTCATTTTGGAATTGTAACACCATTCAAAACAGAGTTTATATTATGTAAAATCACGAGGATTTTAGTGTAAGAGTGTGTTAAAGAAAAAGAATTTAGCAAATTACACTAATGTGGGATTTGTGATATCAAATTATTTCATATGAAAAGCAATATGATCCCAGGCAACGATCTCTTACTTCTTAGTCAAGAGATACTCAGAAGTGCTTGTGTGGTTTCCTATTGAATTATGATCGCCAATGTGTTAAGAAATTGTGAAAGGCTTCTTTTAAGTAGATACAAATGTGAAACATTAATTGATCAATTTGATCCGAATTAAGAATAAATTGTAACATGGCTCATAGGATGTAACACCGAGATGAATCAAAGAAAGATCTCTACATTTTGAATTTAAAACCTGGATCTATTTGGAAGAAATGATATGGATTCAATCATCTCATTAAAATCACACAAAAGAATATTTGAGATATCAATATTTGTGGTACACCGTCAATTCATTAAGTAAAAAACTAGAATAAAAGATTTGTTCACCGTTAATTTAGTAAGTGAAAATCTAGAACAATAAATTGTTTAGCATAAATTCATTAAGGAGTTATTTGTTGGGTTTCACTGAGGTCATGGTGATAACAACTTCAAAATCATAAACACAAACTCTTCTGTAATCTCGATCCTAGTTGGTTTTTGTGCCAGGAATCTTAGGATTACAATATATGAACTAGAATTAATGGAGAATAAGAGTTTTCAAAAGAATAGATGGAAGGTCTCATGCAAATCATGGTATCAATGACTTATGATCATAAACAAAGAATGTTTGTAGCCCTATATTGAAGCAGGTATTACTTCAACAATCAAGGGACTACACGAAAGTCGTGAAAAGTTATTGTTGAAAGAATGTATGATATCGACCGTCAATTCCATTAAAGTACAACATTTTTGGATTTTTAAATTTTTAAAAATTAAATGCAAAAACAAAGAAAATACATTTGAAAATTTGAAAATTTGCAAATTAAATGCATATATATATATATATATATATATATATATATATATATATATATATTGATTTTTGAATTTTTGAAAGTTAAATGCAAAATAAAAAAAAACCTACAAACTCAGAAGATCATAATGATTATGTAATGAATAGTGACTTCAGAATTACTCTGAAGCTCGAAATGATTCAAAATATGTACAGTAAATTTAGATTGCTTCCGAAGCTTAGGATGATTTGGAATATGAACAGTAAATTCAGATTTCCTCCGAAGCTCAGAATGATTCGGAATGTGATATGTAAATTCTGAAAGGAGCTATGTTGTTGACTTTGGAACAGATTCAACTTCAATCATGGTTAGTCCTTGTAAGATCTGGTTAAAGGGTACTTATGGTAGAGCTTTTATGAAAATATCAACTAATTGGTTCGCAGATCTGATGAAATGAACTTCAATATTGTCATCTTCAACATGATCCTTGATAAAATGATATCTTAGTGCAATGTGTTTCGTATTTGAATGTTGTACTAGATTGTGACAAATACATATAACACTTTCGGAATCTCAATACAATGGAATCCTTTTCATGATAATCCTATAATCTCGTAACTAACTGTATGTCCAGATTATTTGAAAAGTACACGAAGCAGCAACAATATATTCAGCTTTTGCAGTTATTAAGGAAAAACAGGTTTGTTTCTTAGATTGCCAAATTACAAGCTTTCCGTTAAGAAATTGACATCCACGAGTGGTACCTTTCTGATCAAGACCACATCCACCTAAATCAACATCTGAATATGCATGCACAAAAAATCTAGAATTAGATGGATACCATAAACCAAGTGAATATGTCTTCTTGAGATATCTAAATATATTCTTCAATGCCATCATATATAGTTCCCTTGGATTTTCTTGAAACCTAGCACAACAACATACAACAAACATTATATCCGATTGACTAGAAATTAGATACAATCATCTGACGATATAAAGTAATATTTGTTGCCGGTTTGTCATGTGAAAGAGTCAACTTCATTCTGAATGCCATTGGTACTTTTATTTTTGAATCACCATTCATACTGAATTGGCTAGTAGATTCTTTGTAAAAGATTCTTAGTTAATGAATATTCATTCTCTACTTTGTCTTACATTCAATCCAAGGAAAAAATTAATTGGTAAAACTCATTTCAAATTTAGTTTCCATTTAATTTTAGAATTCAGCACTTAAGTTGGGATTTGTTGATCTGAAAATAATATCATCAACATAAATTTGAACAATTATTAATTTGTTACCATCTTTCTTAAAAAAACAATGTTGGATCAATAAAACCTTGTTTAAACTTAGATTGTTTTAAGAAACAAGTATGAGTTTCATACCATGCCCTTAGAGCTTGTTTCATACACTATACAGCTTTACCAAATACACAACAATGATTAGGAAAATTTTCATTCAAAAAACCTAGTGGCTGTTCAACATAGACTGTTTCTTTAAGGTCACCATTCAAAAATTCACACATCACATCCATTTGAATACTTCAACGTTTTTATGAGCAGCATATGTCAAAAACATTCAAACTGATTCAAGTAGGGCAACTGGAGTAAATGTACCTTCGTAATCAATACCGTCTTCTTTACAATATCCTTTGACAATAAGCCGTGCATTATTGTGAACAACATTTCCTTTTTTATTCATTTTTGTTTCAAAAAACCCATTCCAAACCAGCAACTGAAACATTTTATGTAATCTGAATCAGTCTCCAAACTTTATTTCTCTCAAATTCTTTAATTTCATCTTGCCTTGCTTTCACCCCATCTGCATGATCAAGAGCAATATTAACATGTTTAGGTTCAAATTTTGAAATAAAAGAATTAAACATGAAAAATTCCATTTTAGAAAGTAATGCATTTGTTTATCTTTCTGTCGAGCATGAGTCAAAAGCACATAACAAGTATCACAAATCACTTGATATTTTGGATGGTCCCGAGTCCATTTTATTAAAGGTGTATCTGATCATAAACTGGATCCAACTCAGCTACAATCTCTTCAACTTTCGATTGCACTTCAGATTCATCATGATCATGATTACCCCTGGATATCAACATTAAATTCATAATTACAATTTGAACTCTCCCCCTCAATGTAAGCACCATGAACAGAATAATTATCCTGAACGGTATTACAAAATTTTGAATTAGAATTCTTAATATAATTTGAATTTGGAGAATTATTCTCACTCTCCCCTTTAACAATATCAGTTGGTAATCCTGTTGAGTTTAGAACAGTTTCATCTTCATGAGTTTCAATATTTTCCACAGCCTCATCCACTAGTTTCAATAATTCATCTTCATGATTATCAGTTTCCTTTGTTTATGAAGAAATAGCCATTTTGGATTCATCAAACAAAGTCATAAAACCCGCATATAGTGTAACACCGCAAATTCAGAAGGTCAAGAAATGAAAGAAAACCCCAAGTCATGAGGTCTACTTGTCGAGTCCAGGGAGGAACTCGACGAGTGGGAGCGAGTTTCATGTCGTGGATTAAGTGGCCGACTCGGCGAGTCGGGGGAATGACTCGATGAGTTTGGAATAGGTTGGGAAACCCTAACTTCGAGACTCGGTGCCCTATTTAAGCATCATATTCTCATTCCCTCAGCCTCATCTTCATCCCCCAGACCCCAAACCGTCACCCACGAAACCCTAGTGCACCTTGTGATTGTTTGAGCCACCTTTGAGTGATTTTTTTGCTCTTGACGGGGAAGAAGGATAAAAAGGAAGTTGGAGGTTCAAGAAGGAGGAAGTAGATCCAGAAGATACACTCCAATGGCTGCATTTCTTGGTAATCAAGTCTTCATCTTGGCTTTTAATTTATTAGATCTCTTCATAGTCCATTCTATGAAGATTTTGGTCGATGAATGAGTGGTGTGGGATTTGGACGTCCTCAAAGAAGTTCCTTTCAGATCTAAGAGTATTGTGGGCAGTTAAGGCATAATGGTGGAAGCTTTATGCCATTAGAACTCCCCATGCAAAGTATAAGAGGTTTTTATGGCCTTTTAAGCACAAAGGGCCATGCATGGATGGCTTTGCGTGTGAGTC